CTCTTATACACATCTAGATGTGTATAAGAGACAGCCCTCATACCCTCATTAGCCCTCTCAATACCCCCTATACCCCCCTATACCCCCCTATACCCCCACTCCAACCCCCCCCAATCCCCAAAAGTTTCTCAGCGGATTTGGGCTGTACTCAGCAAACACAGTACAGCTCCCAACTCAGATTTGAAAAAAAATCAGTGGATGGTTGTCTTCTGACTGGTCGGCAGACTGCCGACCGGTCGGCCCTACTGGTCGGCTGGAATACGGTCGGCTGTCGGGGTCCGCGGTCGGCAGGTATGCAACCCTGAATAGCTGTATCACTTCAGAGTTCATTCCGTTTCGGTCAAAGGTTCAAAGCTCGATTCTGAAAGCCCAAGGAAAAAAGATCCAACCAAGAAACTCCTGTTCCAAGATTCCTGAACCACATATTCTCGACTATTTCAGTTGCAAGTTCGCAACAAAAACCGTATACCACGGAACCGGATCAGGTTTGAACTTCTACCAGGTGTATCCAGCAGGTCTAATGGATCTGGGAATGGAAAACTTGCATTGCTTCCTTTTTTTCTGAGCCCAAGGTCATCAGATTCCTTTGTATGCTAAGCTAACGTTAGCACAACGATGGAGGAAGCGCAATATTCTCAGTCTGTTGAGCCGTTGTCATTACTCGTAAGGCAAAGATAAGGCGACCCAATGTGCTCCGTCTGTCTAGCAGAAAGTTTTCCACCACCTCATTATTGTTAAAAACGAGGGTCCACTTTTCTTTGTACTTTTCATATGTGTATTTTGAGCAGTTGCAACTCTGCCAACATGGCTGACTGGGGGATGCTCCAGCTATTCTTCTGCTTGTATTTTTGTTCGTCTGTCTAGCCAGCCGGCTGTCTGCTCGTCTGTCCGCCCGCCCGCTCGCCCATTCATTCTTCTGCCGCCCTTCCGTTCGTCTGCCCATCTACCTGCCTGCTTGTTCCCTACCCTTCCCATGTGCAGCGCTCTTCTCTCTCTCTCTCTCTCTCTCTCTCTCTCTCTCTCTCTCTCTCTCTCTCTCTCT